TAAGATGTGTTTGTGCATATTTTATAATAGGGGGTTGCGGGCCCTTCGTCTGTAGCATGTAAGATATAAGAAAATAAAGGGGACTTAAAGAATTTGAGGGCTAGAAAATTGTTTTCGCTGTAGGGGAGCGTTGTTATGCGTGTGCCGTTCTATTTCTGGATTTAAACGTTTTCAATGCGATATACATATACCGACTATTTCAACAGTGACGTAGAACGGGTAGAGCTGTGCGCTTTTGGAATGCATGGACAAGGCGTATGATTAAAATGTATACAATGGCCAAACTGATTGGCCCTAAGAAGTGTTTGTGCATACTGTATAATGAATGAAAAATACAAAACAAAAAGGGACATTGTTAAGGGTAGAAAATTGTGTTGATGCTGTGTGTGTGTGGGGGGGGGGATTGAAATGCGGGCTGTTTTATAGAGGGGTTTAAGAGTGTTCCGGGCAAAATAAACCTTTATACCAACTACTTAAACCGCAGCGTAGCAGGTATCAGCTAGTCTATTATAAATCATTCCACGTTTTTTAATTACATTTGTGTTTCTACATTGAAATATGAAAAGCTGTGTATATTAGTAAGTAAAAAGGTTGATTTTGTTTCAGATAAAGTTGTCCAGCTTTACTCAATGATTTTTTTTTATTGTAAATCAAGTACGCCTGGCAAGGGTAAAAGTTGGACCAGTTGTCTGGAGTTACAATGCAAAGCATCACCCATCACAGTTAAAATACTGCTTGTGAATTTAATGCCAGATTTGTCTCATTATCAAAATATGAAGAAATAACAATAAGCTTAACATTTTACTTTCGGATAGTACATTTTAATTACGTAAGAAGCAGCGCTTACCAAGAGTTGAAATTACAGAGGGGCAAATAGTCACATACACCAAAATCAAGCAATAGGCAATATTAAGCAATATTAAATCAAAATCAAGCTATGGGCAACCACTCCATATATATATTAAATCAAAATCAAGCAATGGGCAACAACTTCATATATATTAAATCAAAATCAAGCAATGGGCAACCACTCCATATATATTAAATCAAAATCAAGCAATGGGCAACCACATCATATATATTAAATCAAAATCAAGCAATGGGCAACCACTCCATATATATTAAATCAAAATCAAGCTATGTGCAACCACTCCATATATATTAAATCAAAATCAAGCTATGGGCAACCACTCCATATATATTAAATCAAAATCAAGCTATGAGCAACCACTCCATATATATATATAAAGGGTTGATATATTTAGTGTATCATACGATTGACATAGATTTAATTAATCCACAGGCGCCTATTAAGTTTGAGGGGTTTCCTATGCATGTTGTAGAATAAATATTTATGTAATGATCTAATTAATACTAATAGTTCTCTCAAAAATCCATTAAATTGGGCCCCGCAAATCGTAAGCCGACTCTGAACTTTAGCATGTATGAATGTAAGCTTGGCGGCATGACTGTTATCAGAACTTTGTATATAGTCTGAAGTTAATGTCTGGTCTCTTGAATCTCAATATGGCACATTCCTCGTCCCATATGCTAGGACAAATTTGTACAAATACCCCTTCTTCCCTAGTGCTATTAGGGCATGAAATGGGTTGCCTGAGCTAGCCAGGAAAACCAGTGACTTGGCAGAATTTAAGTCATTGGTTAATATGCATGACTAAATTCATGACGCGTAGGACGTAATCACCTTCTTTTTTGAAGTAACGTCTGTATTATATATGATAAGAAGATAAGATTGTGTCTGGCCAACCAGTCATAATTATTTCCCGTCGCATTGAAAGTTCTTCGCTTGTATAGTCTTGAATTTCACTGTATCATAATATTGCAAAAACTGGTGGGTTTGTACAAAGTTGTTTCAATTCTTCGAAACTCTTGTTTTGTTCATGATTCCGTTGAGACTCTACTTCATCTTTTAGAAGCTTTCGTATTGGAGCATCTGCTTGACTTAGATTAGGAATAAACATTGCTAAAGTACTGAATTAAACATAGAAATCTTCTGATTTCATCTTTGTCTCTAGGAGTTGCATGTCAATAATTGATTTATCTTTGCTGGATCTGGTTCTAAACCTTTCTCTGACAAGATATGACCTATGTAAGGTACTTTGTTTTGCCTTATCTTGCACTTGTCATAATTCACCTTGAACTCCGTTGCTCTTTGCATGACTTGTTTCAAAATGAGGTCATGATGCTTAATATCTCTACCAGTTACTAGAATGTCGTTTATGATGCCATATGCTCCTTCAATACTGTTATGACCCTATTGGCGGCGTAAAAGGGTTAACTATAGTTCAGCTGACACACACGTGAATCACTCAGGTCAGCGGGGCCATGGACAAGGGACAGTACTACGATTACACGCAAATATGACCAATGCTATGGTCATGTGATCGAAAGCCTGCGTGTACGAGAGACACAGTGTGTAGGAAAGCGGCAGTTCAAGACCGGAGAGCGTCGAGACCGGGACTGTTAGTGGGCCCTGTTTGAGTCCTCAGGTGTTGATGTACGAGTCCAGGAAGAAATAGAGACAGTAGAGTTTTGTACGGTGATGTACAGAGTGACATTTTAGTTGTTGATGTGTTTGATGCCAATTGCTTGTATTGGCTGTTACCTACTTATTCACTCATTATTAAAGTACCAGATATTGTGGAGCTCTTGCTGTCAAGTTCTTGATGTGTTGATGTATTGTGTTGTGTTTAGCAGTGTTTACAGAAGGCCTGAATAGGAGAGAAGATCGTAACAATACCTTGAAGCATTTCAGACATAATTTCTGGCGCTGATTTTAATCCCAAAGGTAACCGTAACCATCTATATCTTCCCAGAGGTGTGTTAAAAGTTTTGAGAAAGGATTCTCTTTCAAGCATTATTTGCATAAATCCCGACTTAACATCGAGGGAGCCTCGCAAGCATTCATCTAATTGGGCCCCGCAATTCGTAAGGCTGGCCCTGACACCACCTTATTGTGATCGTCTGCTATTTCAGAATGCATGCTTTAAACAAGTCAAATATTAAAAAAAAAAAGCTTACTTTGAGTGAAATTGCATCAATTATTGTGAATCAATGATGTAGCCAAATTAATTTTCAATAGATCTCGTTTAGCAATTTAAAAAAAATGTGTGTGATAGGAAATATTTTTTTAGCGCAACTTTCATGCTTATATTATGCTCAGTGCGTTCTTGTTCAATCACTTGGGGAGGGGGACCAGTTTGGAGGGGGGGGGGGGGAAGCTGGGAGAATGTTCTCGTGCTACCTTTAAAAAGCAATTTTTAAAAAAAGTTTATCGAGTCTGAATTCGAACTCACGTCTCGAGCTTTATGTTCTTATAAAACTAGAAGGCATTCTATTATTAAATCAAAATCAAGCTATGGGCAACCACTCCAAATATACTCTATTTATAAAACTAGAAGGCATTCTAAGACTATTGGTAGTTTACAATTTTTAGCAAACAATTCCCTACACAAGGCTTATCTATCCTAAGGTTGGTACACTTACTGTAGAAAAAAACAAAATTAATGAATTACGACTAATTGATTGACTTTTAAATTAAGTCATGTGTTATCATCGACAATGAATAATAGTGCAAAGTTTCAACTTGATCCGAAAACCCGAACTATGCCTTGCTGTAATCCAGTCATCCTTTCATCTTCCTCTCTAGCGACCTTGGAGAAGCATTATGAAGTGCCGAGTCCACTATTTTCCCCATAGCGTCCTGTTGGTAGTTTGCCAATTAGGAGTATGACAAGTGGTTCACGTGACTGAGTGGTCCATTACAACTGTCCAACCGGTGGAGCACATGCACTACGACTTTAGGCTCGCTTTATTGATCATTAGGCCTACCGGTACTAAAAATTCGGTTACACAGCTTTCTAGCGTGCCTATTGAAACAACAAAATTTCATATACCACCAGAAATGTCGCCAAAAGGGAGGGGGGGGGGGGGGTCCCAATCAGGACTCTAGTCCGGGGAAGCAACAAAATGGGGTCGCTTCACTTATGCATTATTGTAAGTTTTTTTTATTTTAGCATTGGTTGTGGGGGGCGCTTAGAGGGGCACACACGTACTCAGTTGTCTGGAGCCAAAACATCCGAAGAGACTAAAAACTCATTTTTATGCCTGGCAAGCGACAGCGTTGTTGCAGTCTCACATAGAGATGAAAAGCGTCAGTCACAGCCCCTTTTGATGATTTGCTCAGCATTGTTAATGCCAAATAAAAAAAGGCTTGTGTGGGTTTGGTTAGGGGACAAATTGTAATGGCCTTGCAGAAGCGTTTCTATGAAGTAGAAGACCAAGTGAAAGCAATTTTTAAAAATTTGGAGTGAGTGTGGAGAGACAAATGAGAATATCGGAGATAAATATAATACATTTTTCACACTATCTTTAAATACAATTCAACATAAGGATAGTTTTGGAACAGTAGTGTCCTCACACGCCCCAAGGCATTAAAAGAATAGCTTTACATGAAAAGCAAATACAAGTTCCCATTTCAGACTAGCTATCTATAGGGCAGATAATGTAAAGGTCATCTGTTTCTATGGGTAACAAGGGTGTCATGTGGCCAACACAATGACCAACCCCCTTTACTTTTCCCAAACTAATGCCAGGTACTTATTAGAGTTACTCATGGGCGCCCTGAAATTCAAAATACCAGTCTTCACCAGTATTTGAACCTGAGACCCCACGCTTCAGAAGCCAACACTTTCCCACTCAGCCATCATGCCTCAATGACCAACAAGGCTGTAGGAAACTAAGAAAATAACCATAACAGTAGGATTTGAAAATAAATAAAAGCTTTTTTTTTTTTGAAGCACTGTCAAAAGTCAGCCACAAGTCTGTTCGGAGATCATTTTGCTGAGTGTGGTGATTGATGTGAACTAGACTAAAGCTGAGTGAAAGGATAGTTTTAAAAGTTTAGTTGGCATGGTCTATGCTACATGACATTAAAAGTAGTTGAACGGCATTCTAATGGGGGACAAAGATACAAATGCTTTTCCATATTTCATATACTTTATTTTTATTTTACATAAAAAAATTTAAAAAAAAGGATTTGGACACCATTGAAGAAAAATATTGAAAGGGGTTTGCACCCTTTAATGATTAACAATTAGTTAGCGAGAACAATGCAATGACCAACTAATAATACAGATGTATGAATTTAGTTTCAATAATAAATTCTGAGTCACTACCTTTGGCTCTGTAGTCAAACAAAAGGTTGTACCTCACTAACCTAAATAATATTTAACAAATCCTTATCTTCTGGTAACAGCGACTTAACAAATGAAAACTGATTCCTATCTCTGGTGGCACACTGTAGCAAGTTCAAAACAGACCCTAGCTAATATTAAATAAACAATATTTTGCATACCTTTTCCTTGCCTAGGTCATTTATGTCATATAGTATTTTATTCTATTTTTAAAATTTGTCAACATTTGTAATAGGACCAAAGAAAATGAATTTTTTTCCCCTTTTGTTGTTGTTTTATTATAAACAAGAAAAACATTAAAAATTACTTTGTTTGAAAAGACGATACCTTCTTTAGACAACAACTTATAGAGCTAGTGTCTTGCTCTTTATAATTAATGAAAGTTAGATTAAAAAACAATGGAACATTTTTTAACCCCTCCAATGAAAGTTAGATTAAAAAAACAATGGAACATTTTTTAACCCCTCCAATGAAAGTTAGATTCAAAAAACAATGGAACATTTTTTAACCCCTCCCTGGAGAAAGAATCCTGGTTAAACAAATGAAAAGATCTACTACACTTTATAATATTTGAATGATAAGACTATAGATCTAGACTTAGAAGACAATGGGAAAAAATATTCCTGAACATTAATTTTATTTAACTCTTCAAAGAATGCAGAAATACCCGAAGACGTAGAGTCCGTTCAAGAGAAATTTTTTCTTGGACTAGCCAAATTTAATTTATTTCTTTTTTTTACTTTAAAAAGAGTTACGAATTGACCTGTTGTGTATGAATTATATTTATTATTATATATATTATATTTATTTTGTACTTTAGAGGACCATTGTAATGTTGTCACCCTGGTTTAAACAAACTATTAATCATGGGAGACAATCCATCTAAAATTCTGTTGAGTTTAAAATTTGAACCTCTTTCCTCTAATTAATTCTAAATCAAACAGGAAACCAAAGTCTTATACATTTTCAATCACTAATTAACATTTAAAGCATGATAATGTAATATCCTTTTTTGAGGGAACTTATAAATTATTTTTACATAAATCAAGTTATGGTCACCTTAATAAGTGGTCTTAATTTCATAGGTTTGACCCATTCAGAACTGGGAATAGTATTTGACTGTTCTAACACTAAAACTGAGAGTAGAAAGATTTGAACAATAAAATATGCGGAGTATTCTGCACCAACATCAACTTAATTAAAATAAAATGAAATCAGATCATCTTTGGTTCAATTAGGGACAGCTTATAATACAGAAAATAAAAAAATTCAGAGCCATGTTTTGCGATGCTGTAGTTAGTGTGTACACTATCACTGAGGAAGTGAACAATTCAAACAAAGTTATTATTCTCTTAAGTGCTGCCACTCTTTGTTACGTAGTTCAACTCTTCGGATTTTCCCACTGACTGTTTTTGGAAGATCAGTTACAAATTCAATCTGTGAAGAAAATGATAATCCACATCTTATACATGTATCTTATTTCACTTTGTGAAATGAAACTTTACTAAGAAGTAAGAATAATTCCAGTGAATAAATATTTAGTACAGTTTTAGTACTATAAAAGTACAATTAAACTAGAGTCACTAACACATTGTAAGAGGATATGAATAATGCTTTAGCCCTTGTGAATGACTACTGAGGAGCATGCGCATTAGATAGTCGCTGGATGGCTATGAAATGGAACTCTGCCAGTTCCCATCCCCAGCCATTCTGCAGGAGGATTGTACTAGGACAAAATAATCTTCATTTCTGAGGAACGTCAAAAACTTGTAAATCTTATAAAACAAAATCAACTGAAACTAAATCTCTCTGGTCCTGATTTCACAGAGCACTCACCACTCTTTATACAATAGGCTTGTGAAAAAGGTACTTAATTTAAAAATCAAATAGAGTAGATAAATTTTGACTAGTAGGCGTGGTCATTTAACACCTTTCTTAGCAATGGCTACAGGATTAGATACTTGGCATCAATACATGCAGTTAGTCATTGTTAGTATACATTGGCTACAAAGAATGGATAAACTTGATGCAAGCTTCATGCTATGTTTAACTCAAACTGTGGTTTGAATATAAGTTTCAATTGCTATCATATATTTCAGTAGCTATTTGTATCATGTATTTTTATGTGTAATGCACAGTTGTTAGACAAATTTCCTCAAGGATAATTTAGATATTATTTATTAGTATTATTATTAGCTCTACCTGAGATAAAAATGTTAACTTCATTCATCATACCAGATGACTTTAAAAAAAAGAAAGCAAAGATAACATTAAACCTAGTCAGTGAGTTTGATATTTGGTTGCCTGAATCAACTAGGACAAAAAGATTATAATTGAGAATATAGGACTTATTTAATAACAAAGTTGTCAATTACTAAAAAAAAAATCTATACTGGTATAAAAATGTAACATGCAAAATCTAATAGCAAAAATGTTTTCCTGAAAAAGTTGATAAAATAAGTAGTGCTCATTGTGACAATCCCATAGAGTTGGCAATACATTGTAAATGATTGTCTTGGCAACTATTAAATACTGTTTGATGTTTGGTTGTTTTCTAATTCCATAATCTTTCAAATGAATATGTAAAAAGTAACATTATCACCATTATCATGTGTCACAGTCTCAGTTGACATTGCATGATCTAAAGTTCACGGCATGTTAAGAGTTAAAAGACACGTGGAATTCCTGATGTAGAAAACAGGAAGTAGAATGAATAAAGTTGACTTTGAGTTCAGTCAGTCAGTCAAGTCGAGCAGTCAAGTTAGTGAAGTCAAGTGGTATTCTTTGGACTGAGTGGTCAAGTATATTTTGGTCCGGGATGGACAGTAGCGACTTAGAAAAGTCTGTAGTAATTTCAGTTAGAAAGTAACTTGTGGGCAGTTGTTGCCAGTGGTCTTTTTGAGACATGTATTAGTTGATCTATATTTCTGCACAGTGTTACCCACTGAGATGCGGACGTAATTGGTAATTAACATATATTGGATATTTTTTATACCGCTGTTATGCGGATAGGATTGCTTATTATTTCTTGACTTGTAGCACTAACAAGGAGTGCAGTATTATTATTATTGTGTTGTAAAATAAACTTCATATTTGTCTGCTGAAATGGACTTCAGTCAGTTTATAATATTTGTCTTGTCACGTGTCAAGAGTACTTCAGGAAGCAAGAACCCAGCATTACACGACATTCGCATTCTGCAACTTTACACCATTCAAAACATCATTTACATCATGCTATGGATTTCTGCAGCCTTTTGAGACCAAAAGTAAAGCTATTACCAAAGACAGGCATAGATGATTAAAAGAGAACTTAAATCACAGGCAAACATGGTTTTGTCTGTGTTGAAATATGTAGATCACAGGTAGGACAGCATAGCCATTTAAAATACGGTACTGCTTAATTTCTTTAATCTTTGAACTCAAAGCTAGCCTTATAAATATATATCATTGATTCTTCACTGAAATAATAAGAGGTATTAGCCATAAGAGAGTAAAGAGTCACAAACCTTTCTTGGGTATTTATAAGGTGCTGTAGTTCTCTTCACAAGGTCCTGTAAGTCAACAGTTAGTTTGTCTGCATGGATGTGTCTATACTCAGGTTTCACAACCACAAAAGCTTTCACAACCTTGATTTAAGGTTTTGATTAACAGAAAGAGAAATTTAAGTCTTGGAAATAAAGGAAAAGAAGAGCCAATAAGTCAAAGTGGTAAACAAAAGTCAAAGAGGAAAAACAAAAATCAAATTACTAAACAAAAATGTAAATACCATAAACAATTGAAGAAAAACATACAATCATACGGGTTCATACAATAACATTTTTAAAAATACACTGTCATATGTCTTCATTTAATTATATTTGAGCATATTGATATATTTATGTATACAGTCACACTGGTAGGCCTACATTCAATGCTTTATTCTTTCAATGGGTTTATGGAGGCTATTTTTTAAAATGCAGGTTTCAGACCTAACTTGGTACCTAAATTTGGGACAACATTGAAATTTAAAAAATTGCTTTTTTCAATCACAGGAACTTTAGATGGTTTCAGACTTTGAGATTTAAACACACCCAAGCACCAAAGCAACTTGGCCAGCCATGCCATAAATATAACTGTAATGACATCTAGATTATGGACATAGTGATAGCTACCTCGCCTCTAGTTTCATCAGGACTGCTGACAACTGCTGACTCCAACACTGCAGGGTGTTCTAACAGAGCACTCTCCACCTCAAATGGTCCTATTCGATACCTGATGAGCATATAAGAAATTACAATCATTAGCATAAAACAAGTTTAGTTTTTGGTTGACATCAAGAAGAGAAGATATTAACATCAAACACACACTGAACATGAAAAGTCTCAGGATTTCATTCTTTCAATGAAAATAATCAATCTGAATGTGTTAAGGATAACTATAAATGAAATCAAAGATAAGGCAATCCTAATGCTATAATTATCAGGATAAATTGAACAAAACCTGAATTGAGGTGTGTAAGTAGCTAATGTATAAATTTTATATTTTGTATTCAAGCGGCAACATACAGCTTAATGGGACAGCATATGTTTTTAACATTCTTAAAATGAGCATCTGAATTGTTTTTAAATATGGGAAATTAAGGAGAACAAACATTAAGATAATCTAAATCTATAACTCTCTGCATTTTATTGAGGAATTACATCCACACACAAAAACACATCAAAGCCATAGTTTGATTAAGCAAAAGTGTAACTAGACCAATCCTGTAGCTCATTCAACTCACCCAGCAGAATTTATGACATCATCACCACGACCAACAAAAAAGACAAAATCTTCCTCATCCAGGTAGCCCCTATCTCCTGTTACATACCAGTCTCCAAGGAAAGAAGCCGCAGTACGAACAGGGTCATTCTGAAGTGTGTTTATTTAAAAACTGAGTTGATTTGAAAGAAATTGATGTTTTCATGAAGTACATGACTTAATTTAGATATTTTAACATATAAAACACTTTAGCCTATCCATATTATTATTACTTTTGGAAAA